TTATATATAATCTTATTCGATTCATACTCTAATTTCTAGATTTAAAGATCTTATAAATCTTTATAATATATAATGTAGTATTGAAAATTAAAATTTCATAGAAGTTTATATAAGTTCTTTATTTTCGAATATTTTGATATAAAATTTTGTTGAATAGAAATGAATACGAATTTTATAATTTCTTAAAATCATAATTTTCAATAAAAAAATATTTTGTGTCTTATTCAATTAAATTCTATGTAAATATTGAAAATAATTTCAATATCTTTATATGTTATTTGAAATAAATTTCTTTATCTGAAAATTTATATTTCTTAGTTCTAATGATTAATCATATCTTCAATATTTATATATAAAGAATATATTTTCATCTTCTTTTAGATTCTATTTGTGAAATTATTTGTAAAATAAATCTAGATAAGGTATATTGATTTATTTAATTGACCGCGTCTGTGGTCCAGATCTGTGCCCCCGATTGTATAGTTTTCTTCACCGAACGGGACAGCGAGTGTTGTGGGCATACGCAATTTTCAGTGCCGTGGTCTTTCTTGTTCCCTAGGTCGCCCTGCCACTTGAGCAGTTGGTGTCCTTGTTTTGTACAAATATTACGCATCTGTTCGTTCCCAGACATCTTTGGTCTGAATGGAACGAACAGTGCAGGAAAATTGCAGCTTCAAGATACGAGCCTTGGATGTATGCCGACCATCTGTTTTCGCCCTTCCGCCTGCGGATTGCTTCGAGCATCTAATCTAGACTTTGTCAGCATTCCATATGAAGTTATGGGTTTGCAGCTATGCTCTTCCCGTCGTGGTGGTCTTAGAGACCAGGGAGGACATGTAGTCTCGAGTAGGTTCCTCAACCTTGCCCTGCCTCGAGGATTTTGCCAACGTAAGACGCACGTCGCAGCTTGCCAGGCTGCAATCGCTGGCTGCCGATTCGAACTTCCTGACATCCGTTCACAACATTCTATAGGCAGAACTCGGGTCTCAATAAACGATGGCGTCGATGGAGTTTCAACCCTTGCGCTCCCATCTTTTTATCTTTTCGGAACACTCGTAGAAAGAGTTCGGCCATGCTGCACTAACAGTCTGAATGCTTGCCCGGTTGCTGCAAGCACACACGCCGGGTACTGTGCATGTTCAATGTCATAAAGATGTAAGACCTAGCCTGGGCCGAAGATCCTGCGGTCTGTCCTAGCGACGTTAGCAGAAAGGCACCCGCGATTTAATCCCGGGCCAAGGGTCGTAACCTCGCTTTGCCAGAAACCGGGCCGATCTTAGGCCCAATGTCGAGTTAAAGACTGCAACCACCTTGCCAAGGTCATCGGGTTGGGCACCCTGGGTTTAGACGCTCTACACACGGACCAGCAGCATTCCAGCTCGCCTGGTGCGCCTGCCTACACTGACTCCGAATCACACGCAGCCTCTCGTGCCAGAGCATGCATGCAGCGGTCTGAAACACTCAAAGCAAACTCCCTTGCAGCTGTCCTCCGGACTGCGACACTTGACCGCTTGGAACTGATTAAAGTCTCTCGTCTGATTCAAATTTCAAGCGAAACAGACTGCCCAAGTCCTGCAGAATCTACAAGCCAGCCCCCAAGGCCAGGGGGCTCAGGAATGGTGGAGGGCCCTCGAATGAGAATCCCCTGGGGCTCCCACGACTGCTCGCACACCACGGGCAAACGTGGCACGTGCTCCGAGCAGCACCAGGTGCTCACCTCGGAGCGCAAGACGTCTTTTGGGTCCTTCAGCGGGTTCCCTGGGGTTTAGGGTTTAGGGTTTAGAGTTTTGGGTTTAGGGGGCAAAGACCCCTTCAAGACTTCATGGCATGTCTGAACGGCAACCGTTGTCCGTTCAACATCGTGTCGAACTAGTTGAAGCCTTCTGAACCCGAAACTGCAAGGACGACATCAACAGGACCAGCTCGATTTCACCAGACCTGAGTCATGACTTTGAACTTGGGGTGATGACTTGCGATCCGCATCCGCGTCATGAAGGCACCGAGACTTGAAAAATTGCCCTGCAAACATGAGCCCAGAAACCTGGCAGCCACGGCCTACACTCGCCCCAACTCCAAAGCACGGCCCATGATGGAAACTAAAGTCGCCAAGGAGCCTCCATTGGTGTGCACCTGCAATGTCAAGTTGAGGCTTCGAGCCTGGACTGCGGGGGGGCCTGGTTTCACATTGCTCACATAGAGAGTCGACTGTGGAGATCTCGGCAGCTCAGGAGTCTGCAACGACAAACGAACGTGCTTGCATCTCGTTGCCAAGTTGAGCGCCTTGAGAACGTCCACAGGCTCTCCTTGCAAGGCAACAGGTACAGCCCGAACGCGAAATCAAGCCTTACAGGTAGAAATTAGACTTGAACTTAATATCTACGGAAACTCATGGTCAAAGTCGGACGGGGTGCAGTGGCGAACCCTCTCGACCGTGGAAGTCAATCGGCCACAGTTGTCTACTTAACGACGCAACATACCACCGGTCCCCTCCATCCTGGTGTGACTGTTGATGTCGCTCAATAGCAAGGCGCTGGCGCAGCACGTGCGCTGAAAAAACTTAGTGTCACAATTGCTTTCGCAGTGCTTCATCATAATCTCGGCTGGTCGTGTTCAGCGGTTTCTGCATAGCTTGACACATGTAGCTTGCTTTCGTAGACCAACTTCTTGCTGAACATGACAAGTTTTGCCTGGTCCGGAATACTCCATAGTCTACCATGTCTATGCGGCTAGTGGAGCTTGGTGTAAGAGAGACTTGCCGGTATGGATCTACATCGGAACTTCGCAAGCCGTGGCTAAGAAGGTTCATCCGGTGCTCTTCCTGACATCCACAGAATGGAAATTTTTTGGGGTATCACCAAGACGTGGGAACGCTGTAACAGGTTTTGCCACAAGAGGTCTTTGATAGGTATCTGTTCGGTTGATGTAAGTCGAAGTCATACTCATAACCTTTATCGAACCACGGTATTGAAAGGCATCCAGTTTCTTCACCAGAGCAAGCGCAAGATCGTTATCCTCTAATCCATAAGAGGTAGGGTAGCGTAATGTACGGTAGCTTACTACGGATGACCGCATAGAACACAATGATCAGAATTCTCTTGGTAGCTCTGGTTGCCGTTGAATGCACGTTCAGCTTCCCACGTGCAGCGGATTTCTTGCATCTAGTTAGATGATTATACTTCACGTGCAAGGTTTACATCCCTATGTGTTTCATTTCACAAGTATGCAGCTTCATAGCCCTTGGTGAATACAGTACCATTATAGAAATGAAAATTGCCATCATTATTCCTGTTGATAGCCACGCACTTGGTCTCACTGAATCACGCCCAGAATCGGATGATGCCATCCACGGTCAGCCCTGGCCGAAGTCGTGACATTTATGGTCGTTTTCCTGTGAAGTGTGTGTACATGGTATAAACGGAGATGTAGAGCTTGTTCTGACACCGATGTGAACGTCCAATCAGGTGCTACCGAGCACTCAAAACTCAACGGGACCGTTCTAGCTCATGCAGCACGAGTTGTTGAGCTGGTCAGGCCCCACTGCATGGTCAAGCCGAGCTGCTGGGAATGAACCGGAAGTACTGGCTCTCTTGAAAGTCCTGCAATGCTGCTGCACAGGTGCAGCAGCAACTTTCCCCTTCTTGGAGTCAGAGTTTCGAAGGCAACAAACAAGTGTCAATTCCTCGCCTATGGTTGTGGCCTCAATCCACGCAACATCCCGTTCCCAAAGAAGCGGCCAACGGTCATGAACCACTGAGCTTTGCAGTGGATCGGCCACGAAGCCATGCAAGGCCACAAGCGTGTCGTCCTCGAAACGGTCGGGGAATGCACTTACTAATGCACTTGAGACCAAGAAAAGCTCGAAGATACCGTGCATCTTTGTTGGGGCAGCGCGTAGCGGTGCGGAGGCTCGGGAACTTTCGTTGTCCCCAATGGCCCAAGGAGTCCTCGAATCGATTGGCCACCTTGGCTCGCTGGAAGCGCTCCCAGCGAGAAGGGTCGGCCTTGGATTCAACAGACTAGAGGTGGCAAGTACCATATGGCACACCAAGACGAGGCTAAGGGATTAAGCGATGGATGGTACACCAAGCCTGCGCTGCATTGGGAATGGGATCCACTCTCTCCCCTGAAGACGAGGCTTGGAGGGCTTACACGCACAAATCTCCCAGAAACGCAAGAAGCAGAATCCACAAACATGGACGACCATCGCAGAATTGCACGCTACTCAAAAGGTCAGATGAGCTTCGACGAAGCCTCCAGCTCGACCGTGCTCACCCTAACTACTCCCAAACTCAATTTCGAAACCGAAGTGAAGGCCATGCGGCCTCGACGCCGACACAGCTCACCTAGCAGCACGGGTACATTCGGATAGCTTGCCGTGATCTCTCAGGGATGCTGAGTACAGTGTAAGGCATCTACCGGGGAGGCTGTGACTGCCCAGTTGTTCCGACAGCAGGAGTGTTCTGATCTCAGAGCATTGTACCGGCGGTCCGAAGACGATCCACCTTATACAGTCGGCGTTCATGCGAGGCACAAACATAGGTGCGAGTCGTTGGCTCTTGAGGGCTTTAGCAACCAAGCACAGGTTAAGATCAAAAGATTCGGCGGAGAATCAGAACTCCCTGACAGACTGAACGAAAACCTGTAATACGTCTCGTGCCTTGGGGCTGAAGACAGCAGATGCCCAAAGCGAGCAGTCTCCGTAATGAGCACCAACCTAGCTACTACCAGCTGCACCTACTCTGGGCTCAACTTCAGGCACGGAGGTTTGCTCAAAGACTGGCTCAAGGTGTCTCCTGAAAGCGTCTGACTGAGGCTTCTGCCAGCCTCATTGTTCTTTACCAGTTTTTTTGTACCAAGACAAACATGTCGGCGCTGAACTAACGATTCACACAGTCGTGACCCAACCGCTGCGACAGCCTCATGAATGTTTCTCAGCTAGTGGTCATGATGATGCCAAACTTTGCAGCTGCAGCAAACAACTTGGTACATCCAAGTTCGCTGCGGCATGCGAACTCTCGGCAGTACCAGATTGCATGTGACACGCCTCCACCACCTTCAGCTTGTTGCGGGAAGGTTGCTGACTTTGAGCAACCTCGGACGGATAATGTCCTCACCAAGCACAACCAAGCCGAACCACAAAGGACCAGTCGGAAGTGCGCTGATTCTCCGAAGTCAAAACACAAATCAGCTGCACTTGGTGCGACCAATCCAAATTGAGGCCAGTGTGAACAAGCCGCCATCCAAATACCTCTCTACACCGTCTTAGCCTATCTACATTCGGTCAACAGGAACAGGACGCACAGGAGAACACCGGAATGGTTTTGCGTTGTTGTGGCTTGTTGACTGTGCTGCAGTACCCTGCCTGAACGTCATGCTTTGTTGCTGTCTGTGCGAATCAAGCCGCTTGGCTAGAGGGTAAGGCTTCTCGGTTTCTCGATATGGAATCGACGAGCGCCAATAAAATGCCGCGGCGTGCCGGAACGTTTTAGCACCGGTGTTGTGTGCGCTGGAGGGCACGGGGGTAGAGGGAACACTTGTGCTTGCACTCGTGCAGGGCGCGATGCAACCTTCCCGCAGAAGGACGACCAATCAAAAATCGAGAGAGAGAGAGAGAGATGGAGAGAATGAGCTTGTACAGCTTGCTCTCTTGAGAAGGGCTGAGAAGGATAAATGTAATGCTGGTTGCAGTGAATGCACAATTTCTGTCAGAGGAGTCGAGGCGGGGACAGGCTTTGATGTCGTACAAGCTCATTCAGAACAAGGCGAATGGAAGGTGGAATGACTTCGCAAGCCCTGTGAGCCATTCAGACTCGTCCCGAAAACTGTGGCACAAGAGCAATCTGGCCCATTGAGCACGAGATGCTGTGAAAGCCGATGGATCTGCAGCGCTATGCTACGCTCTCAGATTCCGATACCGAGATTCCCGAGATGCATGTCGATGGAAACGGGGGAAGTTACGTGGACAGGCATTGCTACAAACCAATACAAGAAGACTTTAAAAACAAACCCGCATATGGCGCCCGACGATTTCAGAAGCCAAAGGTCACGATTTTAGACAGGATCGGCTCGTGCATTTGTTTCCACTACCATGACGCCAAAGCCACTCCGCAAACCTGAAGCGGCCGACACCTGTTCTGAGCTTCTTGGATCGAGTCGCCCGTTCCATCACAGCAGTGAACTCCCTCGGGCAGTGGACCGCACGATCTGCTCTGATCCTGTTGGAGACGACGAGGTCCTGCACTCTGAGGGGGTCACATGAGAAAAGCGAGATGTGCAGGAGTCGATGCTCAGGGCTCGTTGCACCGCTCCTGGTCGGCCGCCCGAGCTCGGCTTACAAAGAGCCAGAGCCAGCCCTTTGCAGGCGGCAACGTGGAGACCACAGTGGCCTTGGGCTTGTGAACTTGTGGAGGACCTCTTCTGCTCCAGGATGGAGAAGTGTGCTGGGGGTCTAGGGGTTTGCGGCATGCTCTTTCTTCTCTATACCGTCGGAAGCAACAAGAAACCTTGGTGCTGGCGCCAGAGCTTGATCTGCAAAACCAACACCACACCTATCACAGGGGTCCCTTAAAGGTATGAGAGCTTTAGCTGAACAGGTAAAGCAATAAAGCAACAGGTTTCTGGCTCCACTAGAAATTGCTGAGGACAATTGAGTTGCAGCGAGGGGATCCTTAGCAGTGTGAACCTGTGCGACATGCACTCCAGGATCCTGGCATTTATCACGCCAGAGCAAGTGAAGCGGTCTAAGGCACGCCAGAGAGGCCAGGAGCTGAGCAGGAGACGCATGTCCTTGGCTGGTGGCATCTCCAGCGTGCTAGTTGGCTAGGCTCCCGCATGGCGGTGTTGCACAGACGTGGATCGCCAAGAGTCTCGATGGGCTCGAATCTTGCCCTGCAGGCTCTGGGGGCAACCCTGTCATAAAGCCTATCAGACCAAGGCCAGCCCTGACAACTTCCCGCACCCCAACATTTGATTGCAGTGTCGCATCGCCCGTAGTCGACTGGGAACCAGATAACCTAAGCCCCACAAGCTAGATCGACAGCAGTCCCGTAGTTGTAATGTTGTTTCCTGCCTCCGCACGACGGAGAAGGCCGCGTTCTGCCTGAAGTTCTTCCGCTTGCGAAATCCGGGTCATGACCGTGAACTAAGGCACACTTGCCTCCGAGGGTTGCTGGAGTAATCCGTCCTGACAGAGCGACTGACCCGTCTGTCATGCGCTTGGGGCGGATGCATCGACATGTACGTTTGACATGTCTCGAGTCTTACTCAAACGGCTTCTGATGTACAAGAGCTACAGGCAGTCAGGACCCGCTCAAGACTGCCCAACCTTTGGGCCCGGCTAGTCAGACCGAGCCTCACGGGCTCGCAGGTGAAACTCAGCTGCCAAAACATACCTCGGAGGTCTCACTGCAGGCGTGTGGCTTGTCTTCGCCATGTAACGGAGCTTTGGGATACTCGGTCAACACAAAGCTCAGACATTTGTATGCCGGCCCGCGGCACTGTGGCAACTGCTACTGGGCAACGGCGGACCCACTCCGTGGCGAGCGCCGACCTAGTGCCAGGCACTCTACACGTTCGCTGCATGTTTGCAAGAGGCACCACTCAATCTCTAGCAGAAAAACATCAACAGCTTGGAAAGGGAAGAACATCTAGGCCTAGGAAACTTCAAACCCAATGAAGTGGCCTTACTTAAGACTCAAGCCGTTGACCTAGAGTGATTCATCGCACCAAGCGCAACATGTATTCGTGACATGATCAGCAGTCTTCACAGATATCTTCAACGTGCCTTTCTCATAGGCCTGGCGTTTGAAATCCTCTGCAGGTTATGCCGAGCCGACGGCTCAAGCAATTTCGGGCTCGCGATGAGGTCCTGAAGCCAAGGTTGGCTGAGACCCCAAACCTAACTAAGCCTCAAAGCATGGTTGAACCTTGATGGCTAAGCCGCTACCAGTACAAAGCCTCATTTTTCGCCCACACGATGCATGTCTGCTTGTAAATCCCACCCGGCCGCCTCGTCCAGGAGTTCCTCGAAGCGCCTCCGGAGCAGATCCGCTACGAGTTCCAGTCCGTCGGATCGGTAGTGAACTCTTGGGAGGAAGGACAATAATCACAGGATGACGCAAGGACACCACCTACCAGGTCCCTCAGCCCCTCAGTTGCCAAGTAGATGAATGGCACAGTCGGACCACGAAGGCTTCCAGCTGGGAGGCCACAAACACAAACGACATTTAGCACATGGCATGTTCAATCCGGAACAATGCCGACAGGAACCTTGTGCTGATCAAGACACCATGTGAGAGCAGCAAGATGCACAAGCAACAAGCCAGATGGATCGTATCTAAACGCATTTAGCCGCGTATGCGGTCAGAGCATGTGAAAATTCGTTTTGCCATGTTTGCCCAACGTTCTTGGTGAAGGTAAGAAGCTGTGGTAGAGAAATTACTGATCAAGAATTTCGGGTTTAGGACTTAGAACTGGGTGTTTACCGTTTTGACATTCCCCAAACAAATTCAAATGAACAACATGGTGTTACATGAAACCTCCCTCGTGAGGCGCACGAGACCGAAAACCCTCACGCCGACCCCTGAGCAGATAGAATTGCACTCCTGAGCTGAGACCCATCAAGCGGAGATGTCCGTAATTCCACTCTCACATGGACCCGAAAATGACGCCGCTGACACCAACCGTACAACATCCGCTTCCCTCACTTCCTAACTATCTGCGGCCGACGAAACCGAAGCCGCGATGAACCGTGGCCTCCTCGTCTCCTCATGCCTGCAATCCCCGGGCTCAGGGTTGACCACCTGGGGCATTAGGGATCTGTCTGGCGCAACTCAGAGATAACAAGCTGCATTGGCCAGCATGTGAGCTGTCTGGCTGCAGTTCTTATTCTCGCGACCTTCGGTAACAGTGAATAGCAGACAGTCGTGATCGAGTAACGGGCAGGGAGGCCAGGGCGAAATATTGTGCCCAATCTGCCTGCCATTCCTCAACACTTCTCGGTTCAGAAACATGCCAGTTTACCCCCTTCTTTTCGCGCGAGCCTGGGCCCCTCCAGTTCTTTGATCGAGGCTCCTGCAACAGGCTCATTCAGACTCCCTCAGATCCAGGACACATATGTACGCAAGGATGGTGATCCGTGTTGAAACCTTGAAGGTGTACAAGACACCACCGATATGGCTCTCTCACTGTAGAGGGAGAGAGGAAGGCCAAGAGGGAGATAGCGACGAAGCAACCGGCTGGAGCCTTGGGCGTTAGACAAATGGGGAGCTGTAGTGAATGACACGGAAGCTTTGCTGGCAATTGCTCCTCCGACCCGACAGCTTCCCGGCTGTCATCGCCACAGCGCTGAAAATGGGCCACCGCGACTCCACGATCTGCCATTGAAACACTCTCCACATCTCTCCAGCAAGACTTTGAGGTGTGGCGACGAAATCGCGGCCTCCTGCCATGTCGCCGACAGACTCATCAGGTCCTCGCAATCACTCTTTGAAGCACTATCAATAAGCCCACTGAAGCCCCAACAGC